TGTGTAAAAAAAAAAAAAAAAAAAAAAAAAACCTTCAGGTTTCAAGTCTTGTCTTTGGCCACTTCCTAGCTCAGTGACTTGGGGCAAGTGACATATTTTACCATGTGTAAATTGTGAGCAGCTAGTGGCACAGAGAGACTGCTGTGGGAAGGAAGAGCAGAGAATTGTCCCGGCTTGGAAGGGAGGCTTTCGGTCCTGGTCACAACTGCTTTACTGCTGGCATGCCTGAATGGGACACACTTGGTCACACCTCCCACCTAAGCCCACCATCACCTGCCCCCAGGTCCCTGAGGGTCCCAGCCATCTTTTTCCTCTTTGGGTTTACCAGCAGTGCAGAACTATGTCTGAGCACATAGTGCCCTCAGGAGAGGCATTGCTTAATGTCCCCAGGTTTCTGCCTCTGTAAAACTGGAAACACTAACGACCGACACCCAGCCGGTTCCTGGAAAGATTGGTGGTCCTCTTCTCCCAGGTGGGCCCTGGGAACTGAACTGTCCCTTCCTTCCTATTACCTTTGCCCCTGCTGCGAGGTCACCTGCTGAGCAGGTTGTGACCTTGGAGTCCTGGCTTCTTGGCTCTGCCACTGGAACCTTGGCGAGTGACTCAACCTCTGCGTGAAGACCTGTTGGAGACTCTGGCCACCTGAGTCAAGGGTCACCAGAGACTTCAGCAAGCTCTGTCACCTCAGATGACTCTCCACCCCACAAGCTCGCTGCCAGGTCAGGTGACCCAAGTCCCACAGTGAAACTGGTACAGAGCGGGAACTTAAAAGAGAGGAAGGGTGACTGACACCAGGAGAGAGGCACAGTATGAGGTCATGGCTAAGGCAGCTTGGGACCCTAGCACTATCATCTCTCAACAGCATGGCCCTGAGCAAGCTCAGTTACTTCATCATGCCTTGATTTCCTCATAGGCCTGACTGGCACCATCTTGGATTGGATCGTGGCTCAACACATTCAGATCTTTCCAGCACCTACCTACTGGCCTGTGAGTACACATGGGACTGGTATAGTACCACATGCCTTTAAATCCCAACACTCAGTAAGTGGAGGCAGGAGATCAGGAGTTGAAGGTCACTCTGGACTATATAGCAAGTTCCAGACTAGCCTAGGCTCCAAAAAAGTGTCAAAGGGTAGGGGCACTGCCGTGCAAAGAACAAAAACTGAACACTGTGTGAGCTGGTCTTGGGCAGAGTGTGGGGCTGGAACTGTCTGCAAGAGGAAGGATTGCAAGGTGTGATGACTCAGGCCTTTAATCCAGCAAAGAATTGGAGGCAGGAGGATTGGGAGTACGGGGCCAGGCCTAGAATAAGTAGGTGAGGTCTGCACAAGTTATAAGAGAGCCCGACTCAAACTAAAAAAGCCAAAAACCGGGTGGGGTGGCACATGCCTTTAAACCCTCGGGAGGCAGAGGCAGATGGATCTCTGTGAGTTCAAGACCAGCCTGGTCTACAGATTAGTTCCAGGATAGCCAAAGTTACAGAGAAATCCTGTCTCAAATCCAGCCAACCAAACAAAATACAAAAAAAGCCAAACAAGGACTGATAAGGTAAGGTGGAAGGAATACAGTGGTACCTACTAGTTGTCCAGTGACCTCAGCAAGCATCAGGGCTAGAGAAGGTAAGGGGATGCTGGCGGTTTAGGGAGCAGGGACAATGGAGAAGTCATCATCAGGGTTTGAAGGTCGGGGATGGTAGATCAAGTTGGCAACTTTTCTGCCTAGCTGCTGTTGTATTGGTGGGCGCACGGAGCTCTGGTATTCAGGTATCCAGCCTGTCCTGCACAGAGTTCACCAAAATTTGTTGACCGGTTTTGCAGCAGGAGCAGGGGGAATTAGGAAGGGCTGGTTAGATGCAGGTCTGGGTGCACCTACTTCTCACCCACTGAGCCTGTTTTATGACTCAAGTGAGGTGTTCTTGTATTTGAACTCTTGGACAAATCGTTTCTCATGGGTCAATTGCTGGGGTTCACATAGCACGGGCTCAGGAAATCCAGGTTTCATTTCTTCTCTCTGGTTCGTCGTCACCTGAGGGCTGGGGAGGATGGGAAAGCTCCCCCAGAGGGGGATAGCGGGATGGGGACGGGAATGCACTCTCAGGACTTGGGAGTAAGCGGAGGTTTTTATCTGCACCGCTATGCAGTGTTGTGTTGGCTCTCCAACTCCGTGTTTACGCGGGGCTGGGTGGTAGAACCCCTCCGCCGGCAAGCACGAGTACCCGGTAATCTGGGGACAGGGTACCGAGGACTCGGCGGGCTGCCGTGGCTCCTCCCGGAAGAGCAGAGGACACGGAGCTCGGCGCACGTGGACGGCGTGCTGCTCTGCGGTTCCGGTCACCAAGCTTGTCCCGCGGAGCTCCGTGACAGGGCGGACCGGCAGCCGGTGGAGGGAGGGACTGCGTGCAGATTCCCCACGCCGAACCCGGCAGGAGGCGGGCAGTGTGACAGCGACTCACGCTCGTGCCACGCGCACGCAGAGGGTGCCCCGCACCCACGCTCCTCGGACGGGACTCGCCACGCTCCACCCGTCCAGCCCG